GGCAACGGGCGGCGCGGGGGCGTCAACGGCCGCCACGTGAGGGGAGCAACGGCCGCCAGGGGAGGGAGGGGAGCGAGTCACGTAACGCGAAGCTCGGGGGTGCGGTACAAGCCGCTCTTTTTCTACTTCGGCATCTGTCGCTGAAAGTTAGAAGGAAACTCAGAAGGGTGCGTTCCTAAAACGTTAAGGCGGTCTCTCGCGTCCGTTCCTGCGAAAAGCCGCCGCTCGGGCAGCCGGGGGAGGGAGGCGCCGCAGCAGGAAGGCCGGGCCGCCCCGCCGCCTCCGCGCGCAGCGCCGGACGTCGCCTCGCGCTCTAACGTGGCGCTGTGGGGACAGGGGGAATCGGTCGTTGTCGCGGGCGTCAGGTGAGCTCAAGCGAGGATGGAGAGACCCTAAAAACACAGGAAAGTGTTTTTTTTTTTTTTTTTTTTTAAGTTATTAGTCTTTTTTAGCCAAAGTTGTCAGATAAGCCAGCAGTAAGGCAAGTTTTTACGTTTTAAAAGTAGTTCTCCAGACACTGCATCAGAGTTCTCTCTCCTTTCTTGTCAACATCGAATAAGAATAGCAATTTTGGAAAACAAAACAGATTGTTACTTCTAAATGCATTTATTTGGAGTTTTGAGTTTTGGGTTTTTGTTGTTGTTGTTGTTGTTGTTTTCTCATTTGTTACCTGTTTTTCCTGTAGCACCAGAGTGTTGTGACATGATTTGCTTTCTTATCTTTAAATAACAAAAATAAACAACATGAACATGTATTACTAATTTATAACCATGTACCTCTTTTAACACAAGCCCAGATGTCATGATAAGCTGTTTAACCTTTTGTTGCTGCAGTGTTTAGCCATTCATTGCAGTAAAGCCCTCTCGGAGCAGCTGAAAGGACAAATTTGTTTTATCTGGGCTGGTGTTACCCAGCGAAAGGGCAGGACTGTGGGTGTAACTTGATATGAAAATGAGCAAATTCCCTCCTGTTTGCTTGTAAGGCGGGTTGTGGAGAAGCTGAACTTTGGTAGGCGGGAGATGTTTGCTAGTGTTGGCTCCTGGAGCTGTAAGGACTTTCTTGAAGAGTAATTACTCTGGTCACATGCTGTTTCTTTTTCCTCCCTTCCTTTCTTGCCTGTGTACTTCACTTTCTTGCATGGGAACAAGCTATCTTCTCCTGAGTGTGTTGGTGATTTTCTTGACATACTTAGGATAGTAATAAATAAGGAATTCTATTTAAGGATTCTAAATAGATAAATAAATATTTTCCAGGGCCAGCAAAACAGGATTATGTGAGAAAGATAGGGAAAAATATGTTAATAAAGTCAAATAAAAGCTAAGTTAAAACTGACTTTGTTTCATTTAGCCGTATCTTTTATTTGCCTGTTTAATTGATGTTTGTGAAAGTTTTTTACACTTCGGTCGGATACATGAAAATCCTGTCACATCGTCATGGTTTGGGATTGCATGAAAAAGGTATGAAAAAGTCCTGAAGACATCAGCTGGGAGGGATCATGAAAGCTGCTGGGATTTTGGCTGGTGTTCATCACCTGGCTGGCATATGGTTGCCCAGAAAATTGTAGGAAACTCTGTCCTTAGAGGTGCTCAAAACTCGGTTGCAAATGACTCAAAAACTCACCGAGCAGCCTGACTGAACTTGCAGGGGTTCCTGCAAAAGGCCCTTTCTTCCTACGCCGTTCTGCAGTGCTGCTCAGAGGGCAGAGCTTGGAGAACTGCTGCTGAGTTACAGTGCAGGAGCATCTGCAGCTGTTTTGCAGTCTGCGGGGTTCAGTAGGGTCTTCAGAATGGAAACCGTTGTGTGCTGAAGCTGCCAGGGCTTCCTCCAAGTTAGAGAAGAAAAAGGTGATCTCTGCCAGAATAACAGTTGCAGCACAAAAAATAAAAAGCTCCTAGGTTTCTATGGGTAAGTTCTTGCTTCATGAGATCCTCGAATAATGTTAATTTTCCAAGTATACAATTGCAGCGTTTTTCACTGTATTATTTAAATACAGAACAAGTTGGTACAAACAGACCATAGATACAGGTAGGATATGGGAATTAAAAGATTTCTGGTTATCAGAACAGACAGCTACTGGAATAGGAGTGTATGATGTGATTGGTACTGGTACTGGATACAGTCACCTAAGGGTTCTCTGCTCTCTAGTGTTACTTTATCACAAAATAGGAGAGGTGGCCTGTAAGAAACTTTGTATTAGAATGCACTGTATTAGGATTTTCATGCATTTTTTTCTGTTGCCTCTTTTTTTCCTTACACCCAAATACTTCTTACATCTTCTCCTTACACCCAAATTCTTGGGTGTCATTTTCGCAATATCATCTTCGTTGCTGTCTGGGATACATGCAACAAAGACTAAAAATATTTTCCATCAGGGCTTAGGGAAAATGGTAGCATGTTAACAAATGGTCTCAAACTGCAGATCCTGAATATGATTTCAGTGTTATTAAAAAAAAAGCAGTTATTAATGTGTTAGGGAGGCTTTCAGGGATGGCGCTGCTTTGTGAAACCCCAGCAGGAAGAGTAGTTCCTCCTTCTCAGGAATGTTGTTGTCTTTAAATCCTGTGCCCTAGAATTTATAGGAACTACTGGTGTTTCAGAATTTTAACCTCAGCATAGGAAAACTAGATGGTCTGCACAGAACAAAACAAATTTGCTGATAACCCAGATAGGCCAAAACTTCAGCAACCATATTCAGCAGTAATGAGAAGTAAATTAAACATGTTACTATAAATTATAAATGGAGCTATATAATATTTTAATATTATATCCTTGTATCACTAGCAACTTGAAATACTATTCTTCTGTATTGCAGTTAAAGTTGAGTGCTTTTAAATGGGTATTTATTCAGTAAGACCTAACTTATTTAGTCCAGACATGCATGAAAAAGGGATGGAGAAGCATGGGACAGGCATGTATGTATTGTAGTGGGTTGTCCTGTATCAGTACTTTACACTCAGCATCATTTTTATTCTTGCAAAGTTGAAATCTTTATACCTCAGAATGTGATTTTGTTGTTCAAATTTTTTAACACCAAAAGGAAAGTTCTTTTAGGTAGAATGTGTTCTTCCTGAAACCGCTGCAGTACTTCCCTGGGAATGATTCCGGCTGTGTCAGCTGCTCGCTAGTAAATAAAAAAAAAAACCTTGAATAAATCCTTGAGGCATGTTGTAGATGTTATTTGGAGATTGTTCTTAGATACTGTGAGAAGAAAGGTAACTGTATGGAAGCTATATTGTGCATACATCTGTGCTTATAGCAAAATGTTTTTTTTACGTTCAGTATCTCATATTTGAGTGGAATGAAGTGCTCTTTGAAATTCTACTAAATGAGACATCTTCTCTGACACTTGCTTCTTTGAATCCTCCTAGGAATCGGAGTTTTTTCCCCCAGAGTGTTTTTTTTTTTCCTTCACTGTCATGGAGTAAGAGAGCTTGAACAGCCTGGCAACAATCTGGCCTTGGTCAGCTTCTTGCACTCTGCGTTGCTCTGCAGACTTTATACTAAGCAAGAGTAGAATAAGCATGTCTGAGTCTGCACTCTTTTTTAATTATTATTTATTATTTTATGAAAACTAAATAAAGTACAAAAAACTTAGCCCACTCAAATGGGTAGGGCTGGGGGAAAAAAAAAAAAAAAAAAAAGGAAAACTCCTGGGATCCAGATCTGCATTTAATTACTTAGGTTACACTTTAAGTTTTTATGTTAGTCTAGTAATATGATGATAGATAAGCTAACAGTTGTCTTCTTTTGTTGTAGTACAATAGGGTTTGGATCCCCGATAGTGAAGAAGTTTGGCGATCTGCAGAAATCACAAAAGACTACAAAGCTGGAGACCGTTTGCTCCATGTGCAATTAGAAGATGGAACTGTAAGGAGAAAATACATAGTTACTGGGGGTTTGCTGAGAGAGGTTTTTGCATAAACTTAGATTCTGCAACTAAGTTTCCTGAGTGACTAGCTCAAATGGCCCTTTATGGTAACTCTGTAGTGACCAGAGCTTTTTCATACTAAAATTTCTACAAGAAACATCTGTTATCCAAAAATATAGAGTGCAATTCTACTTTTTTTTGAGCTTCCTTATTTTTACAGATTTCAATGCAAAAAATTGTAAATAAAGAGAATGAGACTTTGTTTTTAATAAACAAAGAGTACTGTCTTGAATTCCACAAGTTCACTGAAGTGTATGGAATTTATGAAAAACAAAATGGAAGAGTGTGCCATCTTCTCTGTAATTTTGTATAAAGATAGAAGATTAATTGTGTTTATGCAGAAATTGCAAGTCATTTTTGTTGACAGGAATTGGACTACCCTGTTGATCCAGTTGCTTTGCCACCCCTACGAAATCCTGACATACTTGTTGGTGAAAATGATCTCACTGCACTCAGTTATCTCCATGAACCAGCTGTTCTACACAATCTTAAAGTTCGTTTTGTGGAGTCAAAACTTATCTACACCTACAGTGGTAAGCAAAGTCAAATGCAAGATTTAAAGTATTATTAAATTTTTTTAAAAAATCTTTGGAGGTCAGTTTGCGATATGATCTGAAGAATATTTTCCTCTAGTATATTTGAAACTATTTAAGCTTTTGTATGAATATGGACTTATCTTCTGATTAGGATCTTTTATTTTACCTAGTATAGGAAATATCACTATTTCATATCAGTTTCACTATTGCTGACCATTTTCATTGACCTAACCTATGTTTTATTTGTTTTCTGTACGCTTTGTTGTAGGAATAATTTTGGTTGCAATGAACCCCTATAAACAGTTGCCAATATATGGAGATGCTATTATCCATGCATATAGTGGTCAGAACATGGGGGACATGGATCCACATATATTTGCTGTGGCAGAAGAAGCTTACAAGCAAATGGCGAGGTTCAGTATGTTGTTTAACATCCATAAATGACACCTGAGGTCTAGTGGCAGTCAGTGTTAAATGTAATTTAATTTGCCTATATGTATGCCATAGGCTATTAGTAATATGTTTAAATGGGTACCTTAGCTAAAAAGGGAGTAGCTCCTTAATCTGCTAAGGAATTTCTGTAACTCATAATCATATTTGTTTTATTTTTGACCAGGCAAAAGACAAACCTGTCCTAGCTAAGTAATAACATCAGCTTAGATTGTACAAGCACAGAGGAATAAAAGAAAAGAACAGATGAAATTGGCAGTAATGAGAGTTGTCTATAAGTGTGTTTTCATAGATTTGTTTCATATAGGTAATTCTTATACATGTAAGATAATCTGATAATTCAGTCTGATAGTCTGATTATTTTGTTTTAGAAATAACAAGAACCAGTCTATTATAGTCAGTGGAGAATCTGGAGCTGGAAAGACAGTATCTGCAAGATACACTATGAGATATTTTGCCACTGTGAGCAAATCAAGCAGCAATGCACATGTGGAGGATAAAGTACTGGCATCCAATCCAATAACGGAGGTGAATTTCAGAAAGTATCTGTCAAGCCTGTACTCATTAAAGAAAGAATTCTGACCACTTCCAAGCATCTTTATTTGAACTCTTCAGGTGTTGTTTTAGCTACCTGACTTCAATATCTGAATTAGAAGCTTAGCCTTTTGTCATCCAAAGAAAGAAGCAGGCAGTATCCAGAGGCAGTTTGGAACAGTCAGGTTCTGCTTAATTTAGCAATTGCCCTTTCGAAGCATTAATTTGCAATGGTTTTATCTGGTCAAATCCTGTGCATTGGGGGGTGGCAGAAAAATATTGAATAGATTATTTGTTCATGGGAATTGAAAATGATTAAAATTTCCCTGAAGGGGTGGGGAAAAAAAAAAAGACTTTCTCTAATTATCAGCTTATGTACTGTTATATTGTTTGATCTGAGACATATTTGTCTGGGGCCTCAAAATTCAAGTTGCACAGTTGAATGCTGAGATTGACCTGTGAGCTCCTGAGATTTTACTGACTTCAATATGAGTGATATTTTGCAAAAGTTCTTCTTCTGAAAGATGCTAATAAACCCTGAAAAAATATCATTTTCCTAGGCTGTTGGCAATGCAAAAACCACAAGGAATGATAACAGCAGTCGCTTTGGCAAATACACTGAAATCAGTTTTGATCAGAGTTACCAGATCATTGGCGCTAACATGAGAACATACCTGCTTGAGAAATCCAGAGTTGTCTTTCAGGTGGGTAAAATGACATTTTTAAAAAGTCACTATGAGTGTAACCACTAATGTAGTATCATTTACCTCTGCTGCTTTAGTATGGAAAGTGTTCTGTGAAGTTTTACATCGTGTATCTAAAACATCTGCTTTCTTTTTTAATAGGAGCTAATTTTATTTACAATAGGAGATTAATTTAGTCTCTGTTTTAGGGATGATTCCCCAAGTGTAGGAGATATTTGAGTAATCTGTAACTTCCAGTCTCAGTAGTGATACAGGCTAATTGCCTCTGGAAAAGAACAACATAGGTAATGCAGAGGGAGTCTCACTAAAATACTGGCTGTATGGTTTATTAAATTGGGATTTATCCTATGTGCTTCATTACAGTACTATGGAAAATAGTTCAATATATCTGCTGTCTGAAAAATGGTTTAGAAATAGTTTGAGACTTTTCTGGGTTATTAGGGGCAGTGTCTCAGCTGGCAGTCCAAGTGCGTTCCTAATTAGATTATTTGTGAGTTCTTAGTAGTAGATGGTTGTTCAAACTGAAGCAATTATTAGAGGAAAGTCTTGTGGAAAGAATATTGATTCAGCATATTGATAATGGAAAAAAAGTATATTTGGATTTATTACCTTCAGAGCTCTTACCAATGTCTAAAATGTGCCATTTTAATATAGGGCAATGCTTACATGAAACTATTGCAGAGGAATTTAAGCTCGAATAATCATTATTTCTTTACAGCAATATTAAATATCTTTTTCCTTCATATTTATTTTTCTTTCTATAATGGTATTGTTTTCTTTCATTTGCAGTCAGAGAATGAAAGAAACTACCATATATTTTATCAGCTGTGTGCATCTGCTGTACAACCTGAATTTAAGCATCTTAAATTGGGTAAGTCTCAAGAGAATAATCTGCTCTTCGCCTTTGTAATGAAGTACTTTCAACATGGGGTTTTTACAACCTGAAGTATTGTCTCATATCATGAATCTCACTGACTTACAATGAAATTCGTTTTTAAATCTCTTAGCTCTTAATCTTGCTTGTATTGAGCTTAGTAGCAAATCTGGTACCCTGAATAGTGTGTGATCAAGTACCTTTTAAAATCTTAATCTGATACTCTCTTCAGTGACAGATGCTGTATTGACAGTTTGGGGGCTTGCTTCATTTAACTACAGAAAAACCTCAGTTACAGCTGAGAGAACCAGGCTCTCCATATATAGTTACTCAGTTTTTATTCCTGTTTGTTTGTTAGATGAACTGTTAAAAATGGCAGGAGTTATGAGTGCTAATTAGTGTCAGTTTTACTGATTAGCTCATGGATTTGTCTTTACCAGAAAAAAGACCACCGTCATCTCACTATTGAAGAGACGTCATCTGACAGCATCTTTATTTTTCTAGTGTTGCAAAAGTCTAAATATGTGGCTCTCCCCAGTCCCTAATTTTCCAGTGTTACAAGTTTTGCCTCTTATCTATAGGAAGCGCAGAAGAATTTAACTATACAAGAATGGGTGGCAACACAGTTATTGAAGGAGTTGATGACAGAGCAAATATGGTGGAGACTCAGAAGACGTTTGCGTTACTGGGTAAATTCTTGGAAATACTCAAACAATTTTATTTATTTATTTCTCTGAAATGGAAAAGATGGTTTGCTTCAGGTGTCCAAAATATTAGAAGTAATTACCAAAATAATTTCCTCCATAGCTTATCCATTTCACTCTTGGCCCTTTATAAAGGGACTTTGCAAGAACAAATGGCTGTTAACAGCTGGTGTCCTTTGTTGGTGATAGAATCACTAGGGGCTCAAGTCTGACTGGTCTTTAAGCTAATATGCTGTGGAGGAAGTGGAATTAGAAGCTGCTTTGCCCCATATGCCTGATGTAAAAGCCAAAGTGGACTTTAGTTGAGACTTGATACATTGGAATTTTTGCCTGATCTGTTATCAGATCAGACAAGCAGAAAATAGGTAGAACCAGGGCTTTGTCTGTAGAGATGCCGTATCCTGGGCTATATAGTAAAGCAAGTAATTCATCATTGTGGTATTTTAATTAGCTGCAATGTTTTTGAGTTTTTAAATGATCAAGAATTGTGGAGGTTGTTTGTTTGTTTGTTTGTTTTTTTTAGGTCTGAAGGAAGATTTTCAGATGGATGTTTTTAAAACACTGGCAGCAATACTGCACTTAGGCAATGTACAAATAATGGCTGTTGGAGATGAAAGATCATCCATCAGTGTAAGGAAATAACTTATTCAGACATATGCCACTTCCTTTATATGCTGCATCCTTTAGAAATATAGTTCTCTCATATTTTGGAGTGAAGATCAGCATTAAATGTGGTTTACTAAAATTGCTAGAGAGGTTTCTCCATCTTCATCTGTGTAGAATCACAATAATTGCTTAATTTTGTTTCTTACCCAAATTCAGAAAGTCTGAACAAAAGCAAAATGTTATTGAGAAAACCTTATATCCAGCTGATATACAGCTGTTGGAAAAGCCTCTTTGCAGAATGCATGAAACAGAGGATTGGCAAAGCTGCTGCTCAGAAAGCGTCGCAGCAGACTATGCAAGTCCAAGAGGCAAGGACATCCAAATGTCTAAAGTAACCTCTTTCTTTGTTATTCATCAGATCCAGTGCATCTCATCTAGTCTGAGTTCTTCTTTCATGTATCAGTAGTTTATGCAGGGTTATTTGCTTTAGCAAAACCTCCTCTCAGTGCTTTGCCAGAATAGGAATTGAATAGTCCCCTGTGTATCTAAAAATAAAGCCATAGTTTGAAATCGGTGATGCCGGGATTTCACTGACTAGACAAGAGTTATTTGTTAAGGTATTACATTTAATCTAACAATATTTATACATCTTCTTTGAAGCTGGACGATAAACATCTCAATATATTTTGTGAACTTTTGGATTTAAACTGTGACGAAATGGCGCAGTGGTTATGCCACCGAAAGATTATCACTACCTCAGAGACTGTAATAAAGCCAATGACAAGATCTCAGGCTGTTAATGCAAGAGATGCTTTGGCAAAGAAGATCTATTCTCATTTATTTGACTTCATTGTGGAAAGAATTAATCAGGCTTTGCATTTCACTGGCAAACAACATGCTTTTATTGGTGTTTTGGACATTTATGGGTAAGAATGTCTCTGTAGACAAGTTTACTTTAAGCTGGGCCTCTTCTATGGAGCTTGCTAAGAGACACTGCTACCTGATTGCGCTGCTAATCTATTTGAAGAGTTTGTTTTGCTAAAAGGATGTAGTCATGTAAGTTCTTTTACATGCAGTTTAGAGGGAATTTCTGCATCTATAAATATTAGTAATTTTTTTTTGTGAGAGCTAAATTTGAGTTTTAGTATGATATGTATAGGTTTAACTGAATTTTTTTTAGCTCTGGCATGGTAACAGTAATTTCTAGGGAAGTTTTGATATGTCTTAGCAGCCTCTATAGTGTTATGGTTACTTAGTTTTCTTATATCTTGCTAACTTCAGAATCTTACAAGGCTATTACCACTTACTTAATCATGGGGTGTATTTTTTATTCAGTACAGTTGTGTCATCTTCCTTTTTCTTATTCGATATTTATTTCAGCTTTGAAACATTTGATGTGAACAGCTTTGAACAATTTTGCATAAATTATGCTAATGAAAAACTGCAACAACAATTTAACCTGGTATGTTCATATATTTTAGTTGTTTATCTCATTTTGCATCAGTTTTGAGATTATTAAACTGCATAATAGCAAATTTTATTTGTATATTTGTATTTTAGTAATGGATATTACCAGATAGTGGCTATCCAGTAATGGATAAAAAAAAGTCCTTATACACACTAACATACATACACATATTCGTACATAAATTGAATTTTCTGAGTTTGTTTTCTTACGAACTAGTAATCTACTCTATTGCAAAATACAAACATTTTGTTTCTGTCTTATATATATACAAGCACATATATACATGCACAAATAAGCATATTGTCTGAATTTGTTTTCTAAATTGTTAACTTTTCATAATTTTCCTGTATCTAGCATGTCTTTAAGCTTGAACAAGAAGAATATATGAAGGAAGATATCCCATGGACTTTAATAGACTTTTATGACAATCAGCCTGTCATTGACCTTATTGAAGCTAAAATGGGTATTTTAGAACTTCTGGATGAAGAGTGCTTGGTAATTTAAAAATTCTTGCACCTATGAGCTGACATAGAACTATATATATTGTTACAAGCTAGGCTACTGGGTTAATCCATATTTTCTTCCTTTCAAATGGAAAGATGAGCCTTTTCTTTATGAAAATAAAATGTATCTGGTTGCCCTTGATTTCATTTTAAGACATAGCATTTATTGATAGTAAGCAGTTTTGCTGTTTTT